GTGAGCGGGTCTCCTGGGCTGTGCCCCTGCCGACATGTCCCGGCAGCGTGTGAGCCCCTCTGGTCCTTGGTTTCCCGGCGTGAGGATCGGGGACAGCGGGTTCTTGTCCTTGCCCCGGGGGATCCGCAGCGTCCCCATCATACAGCCGAGGAGGCTGAGCCCGGAACGATGACCTTGGCGTGCAAAGGCCTGCTTTCCCGCTAGGGTATCCGGTCGGGCGGAGGCACGGTCCACTGCACTGGCCTGGAGCGCTAGCGCCGCTTCTGCTGGATCGGGGTGTGTCTAAGCGCCGCTGTCCTGGGGAAGGACCCCGAGAGCGGGTCGGGCTGGTAGCGCGTGGGTTCTTGATTTCCTGCAGGAATATTTCACCGCGTGAGTCCTGGTGACCCTGAGAGTCCGTTCATTGCAGCGGGGGCAGTGCCACAGGGACGGGCTTAGGGGAGAAGAAGCAGCGGGAGAAACGGGCAGGGCAGCTTTGGCTCTGGAAACGCCGTGGGAAGGAAGGAGCCAACGGGGCTGCTGCCCGCTCGGTGAGCGTCCGAGCAAAGGGGGCCTTGGGGACGGGGTCCGGGGGAGCCCAGGACGAGCGGCCGCCGGTTGCAAGTGTTGAGAGGACACAGGATTGTAGGAGAGCACAGACTCCGTGTTGGAGCTTCGGGCTGCACAGCAAGGGTCCTGGGTCCGGCTCCCGCGCGAGGGCACCTTCCTGGGCTGCAGGGTCACCCTGGCCCCAGCTGACCGGTGTGAGAGGCGACCAGTCACTGTGTCTCTCTCACATCGATGTTTCTCTCTCTCTTCTCTCCCCGCTCCCAACCTCCCTCCCTTCCACTCTCTAAAATGCAATGGAAAAAAATATCCTCAGGTTAGAATTAACAAAACAAAAAAACATTTTTTTTTTAAATTTTAGGAGAAAGAAAGTAAAAAGCTCATGCCTGCGGAAAGTAACGGAAATGCTCCACCGAGAGCCCTTGGTCCTGAGGGTTTTTAACTCTTTTGTGCAGGAATCATGGGTGCGGTCTTAGGGGAGGGTTCCAGCAGGAGAGTCATTGGTTTTCCAGGTGTGTCCTGCAATATGTTGATTACTTGGTTAGCTCCATGGCTTTGCTTTTATCTTGGGTCTGTCGGGTTTTTGTTATTTGTTCCCTTGACTTCATCCGTCCTTGGGTTTGGCTGGCACAAATGGCACTGATTGGGTCTCTGTTACCTGTCTCCCTGACCAGGCTGATTTAAGCTATTTATTCTCTCTGCTCTGGGGGAGGGGGGGGAGGTATAAACCATTTGCCCTCACGTGTCCTTGGTTAGGGAAGATTACGTCTTGCAGTTTACTAGCTGGCTGTAAATTGGTCAAATTGTTGGCCTTGTTCAATGATCCTGCCTCAGTGTTCCCATCCCACTTGCCAAGGAATTTTCCTAGGTTCTTCCCATCCTGCCTCACCACTGTTGAGAGCTGTGTGTCAGGAGCGGGACCTACACATCTCCCCCACCTTTATTACACCCTCCAGGGCAGGTGCTGTCACACTTTACAGGTAACAAACGGGCCGGGCGATTTTCTCCAGTCGTGATGCTGGTCCGTTGCTGGGTAGGGAGGAATAAACCCAAGTTTGACTTGACTGACAGAGCTGCTTGGGGGAATATTAGCTAACATTGAGTGATTACAGCTAAACCCTCTCACAAAGGGGCAAAGTTTACCACCAGGAGATGATGGGGAGGGGTGTCACAGCCCTGGCGGTCCCGGCTCAGGGATCTTTGCACCCCTTCATTTACTCAAGGAGCAAGAAACAGATTTAACATCTTTCTTTTTTGTAACAGCTTCACGGAGATATAACTCACTATACAGTTCACCCATTTAAAGTGTACAATTCAGTACATACACAGAATTGTGCAACTACCACCACAGTTTAGAACATTTTCAACACCCTCAAAAGAAACCGCGCTCATTAGCAGTAACTCCCATCCGACTTCCCACCCCGCCCTGGACTGTCACTCATCTACTTCTGTCTGTAGAAGTCCATAGGTGGCCTTTTGTGACTGAGATCATCTTTTTAAAACGAAGTCCAGGCTTTGAGCTACGAGCTTTGGCTTATAACCAGAGCCAGCTAGAATTGAATAGCAGTGTTTTGATTTTGTTGTATTTATTTTTACTACTCTAGGGTAAGCAATAAGTATTTCCAATATATGGTAGTAACATTGTTTCCTTTTTGAATAAGTTCATTTCCATAAAAATGAGTTTATATTTATATTTTAAATTTTTTATTTATTGATTTTTAGATAGAGAAAGGGAGAGAGAAACATTGATTTGCTGCAGGTATTTATGCGCTCATTGGTTGCTTCTTGTACGTGCCCTGACAATGGGTCAAACACACAACCTTGGCGTTTCAGCATGATGCTCTAACCAACTGAGCTACCAGGCCAGGTCGTGAGTTGGTATTTTTAAGGAAGGAGATTAAGTAAATAATAGAGTGGTACACAAATATGCCTAAGGAATGTGCATGAGGTTTGGAAAACACTAGATTGATTTGAGGTTCTCCAGGACCTAGTTTGGAAACCACTCTATTCCATTTCACTCTTCTAACAACTCCTACGAGGAAACACATCATTTTACTGATGAAGAAACAGGTGCAGAAAAGTTAAGTACAGTAGCTTGTCCAGGGTGATGCAGCTAGTGACGGAACCTAGACTGGACCTGTGAATGTTCCCCCACGTCCCGCGTGGTTCAGGGTTCAGGATCTGGAAGAGGGGCTGCACGCAAATGAAAGAGACGAGACAAATAATAATTTGGAAATATTGGGGTCCAGGCGGGCAAGCCCAACTCAAGGGGAAGGACTTCCACTGGTGCCCAGGCCTTGCCAGCCTTTTATTCAATTGTGGATACACATCTAGCTCTTAGGTAATTGCGGTAACAGACAGATTATCTTAAAGGTCAGTAAATATTAGAAGGATTTACTCTGAGATTATTTGATCAGGAAATAACTTGAGCCCCCATTGTCTGGACTAGACAGTCGGTTCATAACTCAGGCCCTTGCCATGGGTTCAAGGTTCACCAGCGTTCCGGGATCCTTGCTTGCACTTCTCTGCTAGTGAAGACAATGGGCGGCTGAAAGTCTGTCTAATTCCGAAGACCACCTACTTTCCAAGTCTGGAAGTAAACTGGGTGAGGAATGGGCGAGGAAGCTGAAGAAAGGAATGTAGCCACTGGACAAAAATGTGGGGCTAGTTAAGTTGTTGTTCCGAAGACCACCTACTTTCCAAGTCTGGAAGTAAACGGGGTGAGGAATGGGCGAGGAAGCTGAAGAAAGGACTGTAGCCACTGGACAAAACATGTGGGGCTAGTTAAGTTGTTTTGAGTTCAAACAATATTCAAGTAATTTAAACAAATATTTCTCTAAAACTACTTGTGACTTAAACAGAAACCCTCTTTCAGTCACTGTTGGACTTTTCCTCAAGGGCATACCAGGATCCAGGTGTTGCTTGGATAGCCACGGTTTCTGTGGGTGTGTGCGGGTGTGTGTGTGTGTGTTTGCTTTCACACTTGGTGTCAGTGCCGGGGAAAGCCTAATCCAGTGGTTCTCAACCTTCCTAATGCCGCAACCCTTTTAATACAGTTCCTCATGTTGTGGTGACCCTCAACTATAAAATTATTTTCGTTGCTACTTCATAACTGTAATTTTGCTACTGTTATGAATCGTAATGTAAATATCTGATATGCAGGATGTATTTTCATTGTTCGCGACCCACAGGTTCATCTTGGTTGCTGTGGGCATCACTGTCCACGCCCACCGTGGCTCCTTAAAGTGGATGCCTCCTGCCCTGTACCACGTGGGGCACTGGGATCTCGGGGCTGGCTGAAACTCCTAGTTCATAGGATCCCACGTTTCCCGGGACATCAGGTAGCCACCTGCTCCCAGGACTGGCTACTTCCATGGAGCAGGGCCACACATGGACCAGGCCTTCCTCTCTCCCATCGCAGGCCAGGGGACTTCTCCATCTCCTGTCATCAACTTCTCCAAGACCCTCTGCCGCTCCCCTCAAGCTCTTCTTATTCCACTGAAAGAATAAGTGGAATAAGAACACTAAACTCTGAGCCCATTTCCAATAAAACTGGTTTCCTTTTCCTTGAGTGCAGAGAGAGCTTAGTTTTTAAGCCTCAACTTTTTTTTTTTAATTAAATCTTTATTGTTCAGGTTACATTTGTTCCTCTTTTTTCCCCCAGACTCCCCCCTGACCGAAAACGACAACCGCGCTCTCAGCCACCAGCCCGCTTTGCGCGCGCACCTCCGCACCTGAGTTTTTTCCACACTGCGCCTCCTCTGAGCCTCGGTGTGCTGTTATTTTTCCTTCTAGTTGAAGAGTCTCTCCTCAGCCAGCCTTCCTGTGGTTCTGGGTGATGTCCGTTCCGTCTTTTAGTTGTATTTTTGAAGTGGTTGTTTGCGGCAGCAGTCTCCGGTGTTTACCTATGCCGCCATCTTGGTCTCTCCCTTTAAGCCTCAACTTTAAAAATGTAGCACGTAGAAGACAAAACAACCAAATCCTGCCATCCTTTTGTCGACACTTACTAACTCAGTCCTCTCCTCTCAGCTGTGCAATTCAACTTGGACCCAGCCCCGAAGTTAATGACACCTGTCCTCCTTAGGAAGCAATAGATTCTGTCCATTGTTATTCAACTGGAGTGAGAATCTCAACCTTAACTCCAACTTAGATCTAAGAGTAGTTTTGGAATCTATAAAACAAAATAGCTAATATTGAGCCAGGTAATCGTCTAAAAGCTCTACATGCATAATTTCACAAAATCGTTTCAGCAACTCCGTGAGGGAAGTATGTTTTACAAATGAGAACGCTGAGGCACGGAGAAGTTGAGTCACTTGTCCGAGGTCCCACAGTGGACAGTAGAGGCAGATTGGAATCCACACAGTCTGACTTCAGTGTGCTGTGCACCGTTTCCTCCGTAACCTACAGTCGATGTCAGTGTGCCCTAGATGCCGGCACCCTTTCGGAGCAGTTGGGAGCGGAACTGAGGACTCTGCTTCCCAAAGAGGAGTCTGACGCCCAGGATCTCCCACCCAGGACACCCCCTCCCTCCCCAGCTCCTGCCTCTGGGCATGAGTGAACCAACAGCTGTTGCCTTGACCCAAAACGGCCACTCTGAGTTACTGCAGTGTCCACGTTGGGCTAGGCATCAGGACACCCCCTCCCTCCCCAGCTCCTGCCTCTGGGCCTGAGTGAACCAACAGCTGTTCCCTTGACCCACAACGGCCACTCTTGAGTCACTGCAGTGTCCACGTTGGGCTAGGCACGTTTACAATTGCTCTGTTCTTGGCTACAACCCAGCAAGGAATTATCTCCATTTTATAGACAAGTAAACAGGTTTAGGAAGGTGAAGTGACTGGCCCGCGATCACACAGCTAGCGAGTAGAGCAACAGTGACTGGAACCCAGATGCCCCGAGTCCCCGCTCTGTTAACTGCTTAGTGACCTTCCACAGTTGAGAGCCACATAAGTGAGTTTCTGGGGGACGGTGACTGGCTGTGGTCCTCAAGCATCTTACCCTCTCTGGCTCCATTTCCTTTTCTGCAAAATCTTATTTTTCTCTCAACTTTCTAATGAAAGCAGGCTTTTTAAAAAATTTATTTCAAAATTAAGCTCAAAGACCACTGTGAAGATGGTGTTCTTTTAAAGAAAAAAATATTTTTTAGCCCAGCTGGTGTGGCTCAGTGGTTGCGAGTTGACCTATGAACCGGGAGGTCATGGTTTGATTCCCAGTCAGGGCACATGCCCAGCTTTTGAGCTAGATCCCCAGTGGGGTAATGCAGAAGGCAGCTGATCAATGATTCTCTCTCATCATCGATGTTTCTATCTCTCTCCCTCTCCCTTCCTCTGTCTCTGAATTCAATAAAAATATGTTTTAAAAATGTTTTAATTGATTTATTTAGAGAGGAAGGGAGAGGGAGAGAGAGAGAGAGAACAATGAGAGAATTAGAGAATAATGAGAGAATTACTGATCAGCTGCCTCCTGCATGCCCTCTACTGGGGATTGAGCCCACAACCTGGGCATGTGCCCTGACTGGGAATCGAACCAGCAACCTTTTGGTGCAGGGGACAATGCTTAACCACCTGAGCCACACCAGCCAGGGCAAGACACCGTGCTTATAAAGAAAGCAGCCTCACTCCTTTTGGGGGGTGGTCACACAGTCTGCTCTTAGGAGACCTTTTCTGCCTACAGCCCCTGGGCTGAGGGGCTTGGTGTTTGGGGGAAAGGAGATGGGACCCTTGAGCCCGTGTGGGAACAATGACATGATGATAACAGTGGTTCCCGCTTACTGGGTCTCCAGGCCCTGGGTGAAGGGCTGTGTTTATACGGGTATTACAGTGGGATGCGCGCATAGGCTAGAGATCGTGCTCTTACCCACCGCCTCCTCCACTCTGGAGTCTGAGAGCGGCGCTCTCTTAGAGATCCCTCATCCTACCTCCGACTAGAGGTGAGGAGTCATTTCTATTCCGTCCTCAACACCCAGGGGGTTCTCTTCTAGGCCAGGCCACGTGCTGAGCTCGTAGAAAAGACCAATTCAAGGTATTAGCAATCGGAATCTCTAGGGGTTAGGAAGAGAGTGTTATTTTTTCTTACCTGTGTTTCTTAACTTTCTACAATGCACACATACTGCTTTTATAATAAAATAAAAATCCGTTCCCTTCCCTCACAACATGCCTCCCTGGGACAGCGCTTTTCCTAGTTCAGTGACTAACACCTCAGACCCCAGGGCGGGAGACCCCCAGCGAAGGGGTTCCAGGCCTTTCACAAGAGAGGGTTTCTCCTAATTCAAGCGGCAGCCACAGCTGCAGTCCTGAGTAAAGGGACCAAATGCCACGACACCCCACTTTCCTGCTCTTAAATCCCCATTAACCCAGGGGCTGGCATGGAACCCACCTTTCCACGCAGTGGTTGCCAGCAGGCAGCCCTGGGCCCGACAGGCACAGGCAGATTCGCTTGTCACGATTGCTGAGGCTGCTCCGGGCACACAGCCGGGCCGGGGGGTGCTGGCCATCGTGCGAGCGGCCCACTCCTCTAGGCTGGCCTGGTGGCCTCTAAGGCGTCTGGACCCGGAAATGCCTCCTAATTGGGTCATGCCTACCCAGCCCATCAGATCTAACCTCTTAGTGTCGGAAAGCCAGACCCAGAAGGAGTGAACTGACACAGCTGGGACCACGGGAGCCCATGTCGGAAGTCTGGGGGGGTCACTGTGCTGGGAGGGAATGTGCCACTTTTAAGGAACAGGACATCCCAGGGACTCCCTGACTTCCGTGGGTCTCAAAGGTATGACCGGCATCCAGGTGTCTGCGGGACTCCACCATGAACGCTCAGCAACTAGATGGGTATGTACCCTGTGAAAAAGCCTATAAATGTTATTCCTGTTACTGCAAGTCATTGAATGGGCAATACGTGACATTTTAAATAATTTAAAAGCACTTCCTCTAGTAATGAGGATTCTACACACCCTTCCTTATTTTCTTGAAACGTTTAGGATTCATTCTTTCCTTGGGTTATTTTGGCACAGGTACTGTGCCCTCTAAGAGAGATATTGTTCTATGGGATATTTGCTGCCTTTTTAATTTTATAGCTCTAAGCACCAAGGTCGTGACAAGGAATGACTTGGAATTTGTATATACTGGGTCTGAAATTCTCAGTTACCTAAAAGTTGAACAGAAAGAGCCCTAACCGGTTTGGCTCAGTGGATAGAGCTTCAGCCTGCGGACTGGAGGGTCCCAGGTTTGATTCCAGTCAAGGGCATGTACCGTGGTTGCAGGCACATCCCCAGGAGGAGGTGTGCAGGAGGCAGCTGATCGATGTTTCTCTCTCGTCGATGTTTCTAACTCTCTGTCCCTCTTCCTTCCTCTCTGTGAAAAATCAATAAAATATATATTTTAAAAAAATAAAAGTTGAACAGAAAGAATAAATATCCATATTTAAAATTTTTGTATAAATAGATTTTTTTGATTGGGGAAGGATTACACCCCTGAACAATGAATGCCTAGCTAAATATTTTATTCAATTAAACTGTCAATTAAAATAATTAGTTACAGGCTCAGAGAGGGAATGCAATAGGCTCTGAGTCACATAGCAAGTTGGTACAAATCTGAACTACAACTTTGGTTCCTTATCTTCAAGCTTAGTTCTCATTCCAATTATTCTCTTCCAGTGACGAGACTATAGATTAGTTTAAAAGTGAAACTGAGAAGAGAAAGAATTTGAAGCAGAGGTCATAAGGCAAACGTTTACAATCTTTTTTTGTTGCATTAGTATTCTATTGTAACGAAATCACCACCGATTTATGCTGGGGGCCAGCCCCAGGAAATTTTATAGGCCAAAGTTGGACAGGGGTCTCATTGGGCTAAAATTGAGGTGTGGACGGGCCTGTGTCTTCTGAGGCTCTAGGGGAGAACCCATTTCCTGGTCTTCCCAGCAGCTTCCAGAGGCTTCCACATTCCTTGGCTCTGCCCCCTGGCCCCTAAACTCAGAGCAGCAGCGTCTATCTTTCTGACCAGCCTTCCACAGCCACATCTCCCTCTGACCATAACCAGGAAAGGTTCTCCAATTTCACAGACTCTGGTGATTGCACGGACTGCTGGACAACCCAGGGTAATTTCCCATCTCGAGGTCTTTAACTTAATCACACCTGCAAAGTGCCTTCTGCCGTGTGAAGCAACACAGTTACCACGGGGTTTGCCGCCTGGGTGTCTATTCAAGAATGAGACGAGGTCGTCGTTAGGTAGTTTTATTTACGTGCAGTGAGTAAAGGAAATGGGATTCGCATCCAAAGCTCTGCCTCCTCAGAGGGAAGCTTAGCCATTGCGAATAGAGACTATTTGATTAATTGCATGTTGATTTCTCCTTGGAGTTAGCCAAACTTTTCTGGGTTTGGTTAATTACACGTGGATTTCTTCTTTGCATCTGTTGGTTTCAGGCTTTTGTGTCAAGCTCATCTGGTTGCAGCTGCATCTTAAGGGGTAGTGAGAATAGCATTTAGTAAGACCTTGAGACCCTTGTCCTATTATCTAACAATGACCCCTTGAGATTCTTCAGTTGTTATTCTTTTTAAAATCTTTTTTTTATTGATGTGTGTGTGTGTGAAGGGGAGGGAGAGAGAGAGAGAGAGGAGAGACTTGTTGCTTCACTTAGTTATGCATTAATTGGTTGGTTCTTATATGTGCCCTGACCCCACAACCTTGGTGTATGGGGACAGTGCTGAGCTCTCTGGCCAAAGCTCAGTCCTCATTCTTGAGGGAATGGAGACCAGGGTCATACTTCTGTAATTGCTTTCAGCTTAACATGGACGGAGTATGCCTTTAAACTAGAGGAGTGAAAATCTCTGGCTTCCTAATTCATGAAAGTCTTGGAGTCCCCTAGGTTCTGGGATTCCTGAGAATAGGAATGTACTACTGAACATCACTTTTCTTTTGAAGAGCAGCTTGAGGTCAGCCCGGCTCGCAGGAGTGCTGTGGCTCTGGGTCCTTGTTCTCACTAGGGGTATAGATGGCTTCCCTCGAGAGGAATGTATCCAGGAAGATTTATCTTGGTGAAGAGAAGAATGAGTTGTGAATAACACCAAATGCGGATCTGTCCATATTAGGTTCAGTTGATCTTGCAGGGATCCTGATTCCAGGTTTTTAAATATACCCGGTTCCCTGGATGGAATGGGTGTAGTTTGGTATCTGGTGTGGGTAAAATCAGATTAGCATATTTATTTACATTTTCCGTTACGTTTCCTAATTGGATAATATGTTTAACAGCCTGTTCTATAAATGGGTCTGGGCATTCTAACATTTGGGAGGAGTATAAAAAGGGTCTGCCTTACCTTAATTCAAAAGACTGATTGAAGCATCCCTTTAGGCCTGCCCTGCTCTGGGTCAGGGCAGTTGGTTGTAACCTGAGCCAGGGCTCGTGGGTTTCCTGCACAGGTTGGCCAGGTTCTTTATGAGCATCGATTCCATCGTTCTGTTGTTCCTGAGAACTGTGGTCTCCACGGAAACTGTAAGGCCCAGCTAACTCGGAGAGCCTACGCGACTCCCGGCATTACCGCCGCTGGGAAAGCTGGCCCATCGTCACTTTGAAAGGCCGTGGGGAGTCCAGGTTTAGGCATGTCCTTAAGCCGTGCCTTTACACTTCACTGCTCCTTCCGGTTCTGCCCGGGACGCTTCAGTAAAGTTACCTACTCACGCGAATACGTATTTGGATCGTCCAGGAGCAGAGGGCATCACTGTAGCCTTACCTGCCAGTCTTCTCCAGGAACATTCCGGGCCTGGCCTGCCTGCCTGGAAAGTGGGACTGGAGGTCTAGTGTCTGCATGATTCTATGAGTGATTCTTCTCATGATTCTTCTCTACCCTAACTAACCATTCATACGATGTTTACTTTTCATAACGTGTGGAATCCTGAGCTTCTTTTACTCTTTTCCAACCTAGACCTTGAGGAACTATACACACACACACACACACTCTAGAGGCCTGGTGCATGAATTCGTGCACAGGTGGGGTCCTTCAGCCTGGCCTGGGATCAGGGCCAATTGGGGCTGGCTGTGTGTGTGTGTGTGTGTGTGTGTGTGTGGGCGGGGGGTGGAGAGCGGAGAAGGACTGCAGGAGGTTGGTTGGCCGGGAGAGGTTGGCTGTGGGAGCGCACTGACCACCAGGGGGCAGCTCTTGCATTGGTCAGTGCGCATCAGTGCATAAAGGTCACTTAGGCTTTTATATAGAGAGGATTTTTTTAAATTCTCACCTGAGGATATTTTTCTTTTCTTTTCTTTTTTTTTTTTATATAGCAAACCAGTTTATTTACATAATACATATTTTGCCATGCAGCTTATGAATTGCACTCAGATGAATAACAAAGATATTTATTCCGGAGAGTAAAGGAGAGGGAGAGAGAGAGATAGAAACATCAATGAAGAGATAAATCATTGGTCAGCTCCCTCCTGCATGCCTCCTACTGGGGATCGAACCAACAACCCGGACATGGGCCCTGACTGGGAATTGAACCGAGACCTCCTGGTTCATAGGTCGAGGCTCAACCATTGAGCCACCCGGCCGGGCTGTGCTTTGAGATGGATAAGTGAATTTTAGAGGTATGGAGCAAACAGACATTAGCCCTTAATTCAAATGTTGGGGGTCACTGCTCCTAAGACACCACCTTTTCTGTGTAATACTCGGTAGGTTTGGAAAGGAAGGTTTGAGAGTCTTAGACTATTGGGTTTTATTGTACAGAGACAGGTTTTTAATAGAAATTGGCGGTAATGAAGTCTCAGTACCCTGGGGTGGAATGACGTTTTCGGGGTGTAGACGTGATGGACATCGGGGTGTGGCTGAAGGAGGCCCTGGAGTGAACGTTGTCCTGAACCCTCCAGGGTAGACAGGACATAACAGTAGTGGCCTCAGAAAATGGACGTACTATTATTTGACATTTGCTACTTAAATCCTGTTCTTTTGAAAGATTGGAACCCATCTACCTCACCCCTGTGCTAGGCGACCAAGGAGACACAGCCACACGCATATGGCATCCATGAAACACGATAGTATTCCCTAGGGTATTCATCTCGTAAACCAAAAGTGTGCATACGTGTTACGGGCTATTTGAACGCAGGGCCATTTGGACAGGACTGGTTTTGGAGGACCCTTGGCGAGGACCAATGATGCTCCCTGGACCTTTGGAGCAGCTCCCAGTTGCAAGAACCTTTGGGCGTGGACCACACGTCTGCACGGGCATCGGGGGCAGGACTCAGTGTCCTGCCAGGGGTCAGGCCTGCTGTGCAATGCTGGACAAAAGCAGTTGAACCTGCTTCCATCCTTTCTTCTCTTCTTCCTCCCCTCACTCAACCAATGTTCACTAAACGTTGCTGAGTTCCAGGCACTAGTCTGCCCACGGGGGTATATGAAGGAACAACGCTAATAGAAATCTCTTATCTTGAGGAGAAGGACCGTGACAGGAAGGTGAGGGAATCTGTGCGGTGGGGAAAATAGAGGCGACTGGTCAAGATGCAGCAGCATGTCTGTCAATTTCAGATGAGAGACGCCTCCTGGAGAAGATGACAAAAGAGCCACATGTCCTACAAATCAAACCAGAACCTATTATTATTCTTTTTGTTGGTTTGTTGTGTTAATCCTCACCTGAGGACATTTTTTAGAGAGAGTGGAAGGGAGAGGGAGAGAGAGAAAGAGAGAGAAACATCGATGTGAGAGAGTCACATCAACCAGTTGCCTCCTGTGTGCACCCGAATGGGGCCAGGGAGCAAACCTGCAACCCAGATACATGCCCTTAACCAGGAATCAAACCCGAGACCCTTTGGTCCTCAGTCCGACGCTCTAACCACTGAGCCAAACCGACCAGGGTGAGGAACAATATCTTTTTTATGTTCATTTGTCACCCACTCCTTAGACACAGGAGTCTCCTTAAAGCCCCTTTCCTGGGCAATTTTGAGGCCATTTTTGCTGTATAAGGAGTGGGTTGATTTAGTCATGCTGGGAAGGAGGGCCAGCCACGTGACCGTTTTGTTCATAGCTGCTCTTTTCGCTGTGGCATCCGCAAGGCTATTCCTTTTTACCGCCTCCGAGTACTCTCTCTAGCAGCCCTGCTGTGTGCCGCTGCAATTTCCTTAGGTTTTGCGATGGTCTCTAATAAGCTTAGGATCGAGGGTCCACATTTTATCTCCTTATTTCCCGCGGTCAGCAATCCCCATTCCTGCCAAATAGTCCCATGGG